AAACTTCCTAGTTACTCATTATTTTTATGGAGGAATTGTCGTATGTATTTACCACAGATTTTGTTTCCTATGTTCATGTTCACTTTTATTTTTTCACTGCCGCTCATTTTCACTTTGCTGGCCGCTAGCATTTCTTATCTTCTCTCCTCCGCGATGAAATTTTCATGTTTTTCTTCCAACGAAATTTTTCTCCTTTGTTTTCAATCACTCACTCTAGCTCTTTCTCTGTTATCCACGGGAGTGTAAACATCGAAAATAACGTCGAAAAAGACACGAATTTGTTGTTGTCTTTTTTCTCACTAAAAGTCCGGGTGGCCATGCGATTTCCTTGCAAATAAAACCTCGAGGTGCATTTGGGTTACCATACCTGATGATTGAGTTATTTTATATTGGTGTGCCTGTGGTGCGGACGGACGGGCGTCGGGCGGATGTACGGTCACGTGACTATCAAAATTTCTCGGATGCACAGGTTACCAAATTTTCTTACCCGTGGTGCTCCGCTGAGCGCGTGTGCCAACACTCAAAGAAAAACAAGAACGCTCTAAGTAGAGTGAGTCTCGCTTGCTTGGAGATAAATTTTATTGTCAGCTGGTGCTCTTATGCTACATTTTTCGTTTGAAATACAAAACGAGTGTTATATGTCATAATGTAGATACTCCAAACTTAAAATTTACAAGGAGAGACAGACTGCACATCTTAGCTTCACACCGGTGTGAAGCCTTTGAAAACCTTCTGCATATTGATATTGCTCCAGTGAGGAGAACTCTTTCAGGTATTTTACACTCAAAAAATTGAAATATGATTTTTATCAGTATAAATATATATAGCTTTTATGTAGGGGACAAGGTACGGCTCGGTAAAGTTTTTGTTCAGCACAGGAGAAATGTGTAAGTTTAGCAGAACCTTATACAACAGACAGTTAATTCAGTTGGCGCGTATTCGAGGGTCTCAATGGGGTTAACCGATAGGCGTAAAACGACCAAAAATTTAGTCGATAGCCGTAAAAACTGAAAAATTTTAACCGTTAGCCGTAAATAGGGTAACAAAGAGTTAACCGTAAAAGAAATTGTTCCCTAGATTTGCTACTTTTAAGGAAGGTACTAAACTCACTTATGGTTACGTTTTTTATTTCCCGGTTAGTGTGACTCGCACGTTAGGCGAAGCGCCCTTAAGGTGTTGACCAAGACCTCACCTCCATTTCCGCCGCCCTCCCGGGGAACTAATTTTTTTCCATAGCGAAAGTGTGGCTTATTACTGGGGATTAATATTTGCGATTTTCAGGAGGTCGTGCCCTCGAAACACAAGTGAAACAACGCACAGAGATGTCACTGTTTGTAAAAACACGTTGCCGATAAACAACATTTCCCTGTTTTTCTCTGACGCTACGATAGACATTGCCATGCCTAGTCCCTGCACGGCGTCTTCCCACGCAATCTCGGTCAAGGCATTTCGGTGGCGAACTCGCTCGGACCACGTGACCCGAAACGCATTAGCCGCGCGGAATAATGAGGCCTACGGACAAGCCAACGGCAGACAGTCGTTCCGTACAGTCCTTCGCTATCATTTAAAACACTGGACATGGGAATTTTGTTATTGGTCGTTTCCACACTAGAGCTAGAAATGGATTATCCGTCTGAGACTATCCTGTGTACAGTCGCCCCCTTCCCGACAGACCGCCCCTTCTCCGATTTTTTCTGAGGGAAGGAGGCGGTACACAGGCTTTCTGGAACGGACAATCTCGTCTTCAAACTGTCCGTCCAAATTGACGGATAAAGTCAGGCGGATTATTCATTCAAAATTACAACTATTCCATTTTCAAATTAAGACGTATTACCTATCTGACGCAAATCATCAAACAGTTAACCGGTCTCACACGAATGATCTGTCTCTAGTGTGAAAACGGCCATTTCTGTTGTAATGAATGTCGCGCCCCGGCCTTTAGTTGCGCTTTTGCGTGTCGCTTTTGCTTTTTCACAAAAATTATTTTTAAATTGACATTGACATTTCTATGGGTAAAATAATGTTGAAAGTGGAATACTTTATAAAAAGTATGATCTATCAAATGTTAAAATTTTTCAAAAGAATAGCTTATTTCATCCCAAGATGATCCGAAGACCTTTATTTTGCTTTAAAGATACAAAAAATACAAGTTAATTAATATTTAACTTTATGAAACAAAGGAAGTTAATTTTTAACTTTATTGTTAACCGTAACTGAAAAAAAGTAACCGATAGCCGTAAAAGAGCCAAAATTTTAGCCGATAACCGTAAAAGCCAACACCCCATTGAGACCCTCGTATTCCTGTTGAATTTGTTGTCCGTTTTATAAGATACCAAAATTGCGTGTAAGTAATTACATTTTCCATGGCTGCTTGGTATCTGCTTTTAATATCTTCGTACTTGAGTTGGTGTTTACGCGATCTCAGAGTACAATGTTTAGAGATGTACACAGCGTGCATTTTATCACAGTATCACTGGGATAAAGCGTTTCATTTTCCAGGAAAATTTCACTTTCTCGTCAGAACAATCACTGACTCAGTCAGACTCGGAGTAGTTTACTTAAATTTAGTGCTCAGTACAGCGAGCCGGGTTATGTTTTGTGAAATTTATCTACAGTCGGCGACTGCGTCCCACATTACCACGATCCTTGATTTATTATTTATTTTATTTTCAAGTTTTTTTTTTAACCGATCCTCAACTCTCTATCCCCAATTCTCGATCCTCAATCCTCGATCCTCGCTCCAGGCTTTCCAGTTAACCTCGAATTGTTACTCATTAAGACTGTTCTTGTTTCGACCACTGAAGTAATCATTTGTTCCAAAGTAATCAACGCTTTCAAGCGATAGAATTCGTGGACCGACACGTTCCGGAAAAGCTCGATATGGCATTTCTATTCTATGAACATGAAGTGCTGCAAGTAGAGTACGTGATAGTCAAGTACAAAGCTACCAGTATAAACACATGTACATCCGTAACACATGTGTAAACGTCAGTCGCGTAGTTGAAGTTGCTTCCAGCAGTACTCGAAGGTGAAAAGTCATTGATATCTCAAGTATTTATAAAGTACAACGCGACTTCACATCTTAACAACTGGGAAAATCTATCAATTAAATACATACAACAACGTGAATCTATTTAACCGTAGAGTTGCAGTAATTGCGACAATATTCTGAGAAACGTAACGCCTCAATACACTACAATAATATTTTCTCATCCTACTTTGGGTATTTACTTTCTGACACACGTGTATAATTGAACGAAAATTAAGGGCCTCGATTTGGGGAAAATTACGTCATTGCCAAACAGCGAAAACGTGTTCATCTTACAAGCGTAATTTCAGTAATCGCCGCAAATAAACCCAAATTCCAGTTTCCACTGTCTCCGTTAGGAAGGCCTGGGAGCTTACCTCCCTTTTATTGCGACGGACCGACGAAAACAAAAAACGCTTGCATTCTCGCTCTGCTAAAGCAAGCTCGACTTAAAACTAAGGTGCACTTGTCAGTCAAAAGTTTCTAACTTGGACCTCCCCACACCTATCTCTTTTTTATTTAAAGGTAATTTTTTTAAAATTCCAGTCTACCGTTTTTGGCCCCTGTATAGCAGAAGCCTGTTAGTTTTAATAGCGCGCGCACTCATTTTCTCCTGTCGCGCGTGCGCGCGTCCTCGAAATTTCTCCCTTCGCCTAAACGTACCGCCTCTGTAGATCCCCAAACCAATGGTTTTGATGATGCGTGGGCCGGCTGTCTTCGTGCGTCATACATATCCATCTGTTTTGAAACCGGATAGTTATTGACCTACAGTAGCTCATTCTAAAATTCTCCCGCACTCCCCCGATGTGTGTCGACAGTCCTTTTCGAAAATCGAAGCGTCTCTACCGGCTGTAAAAGAACCCACTTCAAAATTTTACCTGAAAGAAAACTACTTTAAAGATATGATTATAAAGTCAGCTTTACGGCAGAGTAGTATGGAGAGAGAAGATAGATCGATCAGACTGTCTGCTGACTCTCACGAAAATTTCCGTTTTCCTCCGTCCACACGATAATCGCAAAACAGTGTTTTCAAAAAATTCCAGTCTGTATAGCATTTTTGAAAAATTTTTGGTGACCATTTTTTTCGGTGGAATACCTTTCAGAAAAAAAAAGAAGAAGAAAAGAAAGAAAAATAAAAATAAAAACGTGCTCCGGAGGGCGTTTTTGACAGTTTTGAAAAATTATTTTTCGGTGCCCGCGCGCTTTCATCGGATACCTGTGAACAGAACCTTTATATAGCTAGTAACTGCAAACGTAAATGACAGAATAAGATTCTCCAGAGCGAATTTTAACTTGAATTTTTATCTTAGTTTTACATGTAAAATCAGATAATTTGGTCTAGTAATGGAAGGTTTAGAACGCAAGGAACTCTATCTATCGATCGATCTATCTATCTATACTCTAAAACGCTTTATAAACAAATGTTGACACTTGTCAGAGTTTGAAAGGCGCGTTTGACGTCTTTGACAACTAGACAGTTGTTCAGATGGCTGCGCAGATGTTAAAATGTACGTAGATGGGATGATGATAATGATGATAACTTTATTTTCGTCTCAAACTTCCAGCTTAGCACAAGTGCTGAAACTAATCGGGAAGACATGGGATACTCAATACTAAATAAAAAGTGTCCATTACGTAGGATTGTGCACAACATTTCGATTATATCTTGCGTGATATTCGGCCGGCCATTTTTTTGAGTGCGTGAGTATCCAAACACGCGTGATAATGCCCAAAGCGTTGATTGGTTAATCCGTTCTTGACCGAGGGAGACTAAAACGTAACTTTTCGGTAATAAATCCGTGTTCTCCTACACCAATATAAAAAATCCGGTTAAAATATCTTCATGTAACATGTAACTATGTGTCACTCAACATAACTATGCATCACTATCCATCATTACACATCACTATCCATCATTACACATCACTATCCATCACTACACANAACTTTTCCATTCACGGTTTTCATTTGGAGAAAACTCTCATTTCAGCTGTGTTGTCCTTTGAGGGTGCTTAGTTTTCTTTCGTTTAAGGTAAATTTCATAGTAGTTTTATACCTCGGCCGTCCTTGGACGAGTCTTAGCTATGCGTCGTTTGAAAGTTAAGGTAGTCGGAGATGGCAACGTGGGTAAAACGTCGTTTCTTGTTCGCTGGTTCCACGAAAACTTCCCAGATCAAGATGAAACTCCATTATTCCCCGGTCGCGAAAAGATTTTACCATCTGTTCAAGATCCTTTCTTCACAAACATGACTGTGGACCGAGCTAATTATGTACTGACCTTCTGGGACACGATCAGCGGAGCGGAGTTTCTAAAATTTCGCCCTATGGAGTACGAGGAGACTGACGTTTTTCTTGTCTTCTTTGATCTCTCGAATCCGACTTCTTTTCAAAATGTGTCTACTGTGTGGGTTCCCGAATTAAAGCACTACATGCCCGGAACCCCGATTCTGGTCGTTGGGAATAAGACCGACCTGCGGAAATCGAGGTGAGGATGAAATTTCTTTACCTACTTTTTCTTAAACGCTTCGAAACTGAGAGCAGGCAACGAGCCGTTTAGTTTTCAGTTCAGGTGTTCTTGTTCCAACATCCGCTTCAATCGTTTTTTATTATTTCCTTGTAATAACGACTCACTTTTAATTTTCTTTCTTAACCTAGTCAAACTGCTGCAGGTCACAGTATAAGGGGTTTTAATACTTGGCCTGGAGCAAAATTATATTAACAATCATAAGCTTCGAAATTGTGGATTTCTTGTACCGCCCCAATCGTGTAACTTACGACTTTTAATAGCTTGGTTATGTTAATCGAAAATTCATTAATGTTTGGTCGCTTGAATTTATTGAACTGAAGTTTTAATAAAGATTGACGATACCTTTGAAGATTGTGCCGGCTTATCGAGTTGGAGCAGAAGCCACAAAACTTCCGCGTAGAATTTAGACAGCTAGAAACGTGCGTGTAGGTCTTACTAATGTTTTTCTCGGGGAAATAAGCTAAACATGCTTAATGTAAGAATCACAGGAAAGTCGATCATCAAAGCTCTTCGGATTGGCAAATGGTCAATTTATTTAGTTTGATGTCTTCTGAGCCAAATGGGTTTTGTAGGTTAAATTGTATTCGTCAAAATTCGGAGCGAGTTATATTTTCAGAGGCCGGTAAATTTCATGCCGTCATTTGCGGCATAAGCAAACTTTTCACCTTCCAGTTAATTATTGTTCGCCAAGAACAATGAAGATGCCTACATTCGCGGCATGTCTGCGTTCTCATTTTCCTTCGAAGCTTAAAAACAACTAAAAATTAAATAATAATGGTTTCTTCCTCTCTACTTTCGTTTTCCGTTGACGTAAGCTTATTCCCTTGGTTTCGACCGTGATCATGTTAATAATCATTTTACCTTGATATGTAACCTTCATTAATACTTTTAAAGGAAAGTTGTTCTCATTAATCTAAAAGAGTTGTGTGGACTAGCTAGGCTTTGCTTTTCTCAATCCAGCTGCTAATTTTTCACGCGGCTTATTAGTTTTCTAAAAACCATTTAGCCACATCAAACAGCCCTTGAATCTTCAGGCATTTTACGAGCTTTTTTTGTTTATTTACATTGTCTGTAGTGTCTACACTTGAATTGATTGGGTATCGCCGACCGTTTAAAAGAAAACTGAAAATTATATATTTTTTATGGTTTACATTTCTTCCAATTCTGCTTTGATAGGATTTTATAATTTAGACGTATTGCTGCCGTAGAAACCATTCTTTTACGAAAAAAAATGGCATGTTTACTTTAATAACACTGTGTATTAATTTCCATCTCATGCAATGTAAGGCACCACGACCAAGGCTGTAGATAAGTTTGCTGGTTTCAGCTGTATCGAGTTTCAAATAAGATCAATATCAGAAATATTAATCCAAATGACCAGGGAAAATTCAGCTTTCAATACAAAACTAATTGACATAGATAAAAAAAAATATCATTCATTATTATTCTGAGTGTTATTTTTTGGCAAAATAGCAACTAACACCATGTAAACTTTGAATGTACCGATCAAAAGAAATCATTAAAATGAATGAATAGTTTATCCCAACAATGAGATATTAAAAGATAAAATAATATCACCACAGGAAATTACTCCTAAATGATAATAAACGACTGTAATTAGAACCTTGATTGTCAACAGCAAATAAACCGAATACTAATAGTGCCAAGTGAAAAAAATGATCAGTAATTTTCTGTTGATGCTGCATTATGCTTTGAAGGAAATTATTGTTGACACTTTTACACATAAGAGAACCTTAGTAAATAAAATTCAGAAAAAATGATGATTTCAATTTGCTCGGTAGCACCATCTAAGCCTAATCTCCTGAGTGGGGACAATAGTATTAATAATGAAAAATAAATGGCACAGGGTGAAACTGCTTACATGAGAGGATGTCATTCACAGGTACAAAAGTTTGAACTACATCTCCTGTCTCCAAAGTGAGAGAGTTTGAATTGATAATAATCAGGTCACACTCAACAGATTTAGAAGTTGCCGAAACCTTTGCACATCATGATGAAAATACTAAGTTGTCTCTATAGGTGTATTACCTTTCATTTAAAATTTACTAAATACAGGGTTGCCATAGTCAGGGAAAAGTCAGTGAAAAATGAAAATTTTTCAAGGTCAGGGAAAAGTTAGGGAATTTTTTAAATAGTCAGGGAAAATCTTTGATATTGTCAAAATCAGTGAAAGGTCAGGGAATTCTGTTTTCTTGTTTATAGTTCATAAATTGTCTTCAAGATTTTGAATTGTATTGTCTTTCGGAAAAGATGAAAAGTATGCTGCAAAGCAAGGAAAGCGATCAATTTAACACTCTACGTCTGACACATGTTGTAGTTGTGGTCAGTGGTTTTCATTGTGGATGCTTTCTTCCAAATTCCTTCTTCTTCTTTCTGCAAAAAGCGGAAAGAGGTTAAAAATGAAGAGAAAACTGTTTATCATGCTGTACAAGGTGGTTCTAGCTTTGGAGTCTTTGAGTTAAAATGCTTAAGTGTGACCATTCAAATGAAACTTTCCTATGGTGATGCTTATTATGCTGTGCAATGTGGTTCTAGCTTTGGGGTCTGTGATTAAAATCCTCAAGTGTGACCATTCAAATAATGCTTCTGCATGCAGTTCTTTGCTGTGGTGCTGTTTGTTGTGCTACACAAGGTGGTTCTAACTTTTGAGTATGTGCATGAAATCGTAAAGTGTGACCATTCAAATGAAAGCTAGTGAGCAGTACTTTGATGTGATACTATTATATCATTATCTGATACAAAGTTAAAGCCAGAATACAAATAAAAAAATGATAATTAAAAATGATGATTGACAGAGTTCACTACACTTCTGCACACACTCAAATATCATTTTCATCATGGCAAAAAATTCATTTTGTAATTTTTTAAATTTATTTGATTTTATTTTTTTTAGAACTTCAGCTTGTACAGAACATTACAAAAATCACTGTTGTACAAAGTTACACACTGTATTTACTTACGTGTATGTCTGCATAATAATACAGTATGTCAAGAAAGTTCAGCCTAGCAGTTTTGAAATAATACTTGACCTTTAGTAATTAAGGCAAAAGGAAAATGATATTGAAGCAAAATATGTTTTTAATTCATAAATGTTTATGATAAAGAAAGATAAGAACTTAATAAAAGTTCTTGTTTTATTTTTGTATTCCATATTTTATATTAATATTTTGGAGATACCGTCAGTATTTTCTACTATACTAATATTATTATTGTTATTATTGCAGAGTAGTTTGTATGATGCCAGTATCTCCAAAATATTACTATTATTACAAAGATGATTGTATAAAAGGACAAGAATGGCTATGAGCACAAGATTTGACTGAAAGTTTTTCTGCTTATTTCTCAAAAAAATAGACAGTCACTCTGAAAAGCTTCTTTATACTTTTGATTCACCAAAAGAGATAGCTCTGTTATGTTAATTGAAGGAGGTTGAGGTCTCTCGTGATTGCAAAATAATGAAACTACTAAGATTTGATAGGTTGTTTTCACCACTACAACATTCTCGCTAAAACTTGTAGCAGAGTGACAATGGCTACAACATTTTCTCACCAAAATGACATGACAATCATGGGCAAAAGGCTTGGGACACTTTTGCATTTCGGGGAGTTTTCCAATAAAATTCGTACAGGCCCAACCCATCCCCTCACCCCACAAACAATGTTGGACGCATGAATCCAGAATTTTCTCTGAGTTTCAACTTTGTATAGGGTGGGGGGAGGGAGAACTGTAAGAAAATTGCGAAAAGGATGGCACACTGTTTTATGAGGGAACCGAGAATGACAGAAAAATACAAATATTGCATTACTGTCCCAATGACTTTTGTCCATGATTGCAGTTCATGTGTAAACACTACTTAGTATTGAGAAAATCTCATACTTGTAGTCATTCTCGTCTTAGTATCTAAAGCCGGTCTCTAATAACTGTCAGCCTTGTACCTGCTAGCTACAGGTTGCCCTAGGGGTAGGCTGTGTAAAACAGACTTTCTTTGCACACTGTGTTCATGCTTGTTTTTGTTTCGTCATCAGCAGTGCCCCAGATAGCATGATCACTGTGTCAAAAGGCCGTGAATTAGCAGAAAGACTCGGAACCTGCTACTGTGAAAGCAGTGCTGTTACGGGTGAAGGTGTATACAGCGTTATTAACTCTGCTGTGCGAGTAGCAATTCAGAACCAAGCTCCTGCAAAAACAAGGTTCAAGGTTTTTCAGCGGCAGAAGAAAGCTCCAAAATTGCTGCGACATGGACCAGATCCTCCTGTGCTATCTCCCCCAGGTTTGTAGAGTTAACTTGTTTTAACCCTCAATTTTAAGCATGATCTCAAAATTGAGCTTGCCCTGATACCTACATTAATTTTGTACATCTATGCATACTCTAATATGGGGTATATTTTGTCCTTAAGAAAGCACACTAAGGCCCATTACTTCACAGTACCCCTCAAAAAGGGCCATTAACTACATGGTTGAGGGTGATTTTGTTTAATACCTTTGTGGCCTGCATCCCTGACACATAAAAATCTCCAAAGACGCAAAATAATAATAATTATTTATGGCATGTATTCAGATCGATCTGAAGATGTGTTTGTGGAATATCCTGTTTGTTTGATTTCTAACTATATTTTGATTTCATTATACTTTAATAAAGAAATTTTGGAGTCTGGCCTCAGATTAACTGTCTGGCCCTGGTTGTTCAAACATTGGATAGGGCTATCCACCAGATAAATCACTATCTGGCAGATAGCGAAATTGATTTCCGTAAAACTTATCTGCTGGATAGAGATTTATCCGGTGGATAACGCTATCCAACGTTTGAACAACCATGGCCTGGTTACATACAGGCCCAAGTATTTTCAATTCAGGATTCATCGTTTTTTGAACTGGGACTCATTGGTTCCAGACTGGGACTCAAAATATTTTCACAAGATGAATACCCAGGACTCACCATAACTATTTGTAACAAAATCACTGGGTTAAAATGTTAGTGAATAAGATGACTTTGCTTTAATTTATTTTTTGAGTTTCTTAGCTTTTCATGTATACACAGGAACTTGAATATTTCAGGCTTTTATACAGATTATTGCCAAATGATCTAATAGATGCCCTCTCTCAAATTAACACCCACTGTCTCTTAAACGCCCCAAGGTTTAAAGTTTGTATGTGATGCCCTGTCAAATAAACACCCTTGCCTAAGAAATGCCCCCTGTCTAATAAAATAATGCCCCCTGTTTAATAAATGCCCCCTGTCTAATGAACACCCCCTGTCTAATAAATGCCCCCTGTTTAATGAATGCCCACTGTTTAATAAACACCCCTTGTGTAATACATATAAATGTACCCCATCTAATAAATGCCTCCTGTCTAATAAATGCCCCCTGTTTAATAAATGTCACCTGTTTATTAAGCACCCCCTGTGCAATACATATAAATGCTCCCTGTCTAATAAACACCCTCCATGATAGTTGCTCCAATTTTAATAAACACCCCCTGTGTAATACATATAAATGCCACCTGTCTAACAACGTCCATGATAGTTGCTCCAATTTTAAATGTCTGTTGTCTATTAAATGTCCCTGCTTCGGGTCCTAAATTCCGGAAATTCCGGGTCAATGGTGATGATGGTACAAAATTAATATGTCTTGTTTCCTCTGCTTTGAGAAATTGGATCAGACAGTAAATCTAAGTAATTTTGAGTACAAAGAAACAGTGACAGATGGGATTTTTTACGGTTATTGTTATCAAATGTTGCTTTTTTATATCACCCATTAAACAGATCCAATGCCACCAGTTGAAATTTTGCCCTCCACCTTCACTGAGGATATGAAGAAAATGCAAAACGACACTAGCCCTGGAAATTCAGACATCAGGCTTGTCTTTGGTTCTAATAGCCATCCAGTTGAAGCTCATAAAATCGTACTCAGTATAGGTTCTTCTGTGTTTCGTGACTTCTTTTTGAACAATGGAGACCAAGTTGAACTCAGTCGATTACTAAGTAATGCTGAGTCGTGCTCTTGTACTAGCAAAGAAACCAAACAAAGTGGAAAGAAAGGCAATGTAAAAGATACTAGCAATGGAAACCTTCAAAGTCTAGTTCCCGCTCATCAAAGCTCAGAACGTTCACCAAACCTGGAAAGAAAGGCCAAAGGAAAGACTAAGACATGCTTACATTTTAATAACAGTGTTTCTGGTAAAGCTTTTCAATACGTGCTAGAGTTTTTGTATTCTGGCTCACTCAATATTCCAGGGGATGCTGATGAATCTCTGTACACCAAGATCACAAGCTTGTCTCACAGACTGCGCATTCCTTGGTTAGGACAGATCTGCGAAAACATAACAAATGGGGAAAGCTACCTCAACCCCAGCTTAGTGGCCATTATGCAAGAGGAGAGGAACAAAATTGTCAAGGAGAACTTTGTGAATCGCCCACATTTTTCAGATGTGGTGTTTCATGTTAAAAACACTGTTTTGTATGCTCACAGAGCATTGTTAATGGCAAGGTCAGAGGTCATGGCAGCCATGTTTGGTGGTAGCTTCTGTGAGCGAGATAGCCATGAGGTAGGTCTGCATCATTGGAATGCTGTCGATAATAGGCCATTTTTGAATTTTAAAATCCATACTCAGCTCTGGGGCTGAGAGGAATAAAACAAAACAAATGAATTATTTATTGCTGAATCTAAATGCATTTTCTTTTGTTTCATACCCTTTAGCCTTGATGCTAAGTATTAATAATTCAGAACTACAGCTGTAGTCTACTCTAGCTTAAAAGGGTCCTCTTGTGAGAAAAAATGTCTTTTCACATTTTGAGTGAGAAGCCATTTATGCCATGTTAGGCCATGTTGTTTCATGTTGGAATTTTACCCTAACAGAACTTCACAATACAGTCAAACTCTGTTAATATGGACATCAAGGGGGCCACAGAAAATGTCCGTATTAACAGGGTGTTTGTATTAAGCAGGTTGCATTTGAACACAAGGTAAGGGCTTTTTTTCCCCAGGGATAAAGCAAACTGTCCGTAATGATGGGATGTCCATTTTAAGCAAGTGTCCAGTAAGCGGGGTTTGACTGTGGTGTTGACTGTCGATATAACCCGGTTAACTTAAAGGAGCTGTATCATGATCTTTAGGTTCAAAATAATACTTACAACCTTAAAAACTCATTGCAGTCAAAGATAACCCAACATTCAGTTTAGCAGTTAACTCTGGTCTAAAATTACTCTTGTGGAAAGCGAGGCTGAATTGCCGACTAGGAGAAGCTGAGTGTTCTGGATCTGAGGTGAGCAGTTTCAGAAAGATGGGTGGGGGACAGAACAATGTGGAAGTAAAGGAGACAGGTTGTCTAGGGAAGATAGATATTCTGGAGGAGATTTGTTACTTTGAGATGGGTTGTCTGGGGGAATGGGAGCAGTCTGATGGGTGAACTTTGAGGGGGAGATGGACAGTCAAGGAGGCTCTGTGTTCTTGCAGTGGTGTGGGAGAGATGTTTAGCCAGTGAGGGTGGGATGGGCGACATGTATATTGGGGGAGATGAGTAGTCTGGAGGGGGATGGATTGTCTAAGGGAGAAATATGCGTGACTGACCAAGTTTGAGGTCAAGATGGCTGGATATTGGCTGAATTCATTTTTTGTATATTTAAGGACTGAGACTAAGTCAAGGTCCATTATAAGAAGCCAAAAAAGAACTAAGATATTATCCAGTAGGGTTCATACAGGTCATAGAAACCTAAGTCATGGAATTAAAGCAGCTCATTTTCCAGGCATGGAAAGTCATGGAATTTAATAGTCAGTCCTTGAAAGTCATGGAAAATTACAGTTTATTTTGATTAGTTACTGCCGGTGATAAGGCAAGGACATTGTAAGATAGAGAGAAGTGATTGAACAGTGTGAATGGCAGGCATTCTGGGGGACACCACAGTTTGCGTCTGTTGAACTGATTAAGGTCCAAAAATACCCTAAAACAAGGAAAGTCCTAAAAACTTTTTAAAGTGACAGCTAAATCTAACGTCTTCGAAAACTTTAAAAGGTCATGAAAAAAGTAATGGAAAGTCATGGAATTTGTAGAGCTCAAAAGAGTACCAACCTAGTCCAGCTTTCTTGACCAAACAAGCTTGGTCATTGAGGGATTTATTATATGGCCTATATGAGAACTTATTTCTTGTGGGACAAATGCAGGAAATCCTGAGCAAGGAGTTAGGCCCATCTTGCCCGTTTGAACACAGATTTGCCATATAATAAAACAGAATAGTGTTTGCATAATAGGAGTTGCAAAGTGGTCAACCCAAAAGGAAAATTGCAGAGTCCAAGGATATCTTGAACACCAAGCCAGTTGAATTAGTTGAATTAGTGTTTACTTTGACTCGCTTATATGGTTTTAACTTGATGTTGCAGGTCACCATTAAAGGAGCAACTGTAAAGAGCTTCCTGGCTTTGCTGGTGTTCCTGTATACAGATGATGTACCAAGCGACATGACTATCAATGACTACAGAGAGCTGCTTGTGGTGGCTGACAGGTTTTGCCTTCCCCAGCTCATTTCAGTCTGTGAGTCAGCCATCACAGAGAAAATTTATGCAGAGATTAGGAAGAAACGTCTGAACTCTGCAAAATGCAATGATGTGATCAACTTACTTTTGATAGGGCAGGTAGGGGTTTAAATAAGCTGTGATTCAACTGATGGCAGCATACAAGAATTGTTCCCAAACCACACTTAAATTTCCTTAGATCCTTGTAAATTTTAATCTCTTTCACCTCTTATCATGGTATGTGCCAGTATACCAGTAAAAGACAGATTTGACATGCATCTTGGTATTAGTACTCCAGATTTCATGTGACAGGGATGATCGAAGGTTTTTGGGGGATCTGAAATTTTCGATTCCAGGATTATTTTGGGGTAGGAAAATTTGGCAAGTATTTTTTGGATGGCTTGATTTATGTACTAGGGATTTTTTTGGCTATTCAGAACAATCTGAAGATTCGTATCCTAGCCTTGTTGTTCTGCGGTTAAAGTACAACCAAATTAAACTTGGTTTCCTTTCTGGAGATTTTTAAGGGCTCAGAAATTCGGCTTGTGATATTTTGGGAGTTAAATTTTGGTCCAGGGATTTTTTGGGGTTTTGATTTTTTGCCCTCATTCAATCATCCCTGTCACTTGAAATCAGGAAAACCCCCTCGGGTGAGGGTGGGGAGTGGTGAAGGGCCAAGGTATAACCTTACTAAGTTGCATGAAAACAAGTCTAAAAAAAATTCCTGATGAGTCAAGGCCATGCTCTAAGAAATATTAAAAGGAGCCCAGTGTTCTGAACTTGTAAAATCCAGGGTGCGTTAGCATAGGATTTCTAGGGAAAAACTAAGACTTCATAGTTGCCAAAGAACAAAAGTAAGGCACCATGACCACCAGGCTCTTCCTGTGCCGATTAGTCCAGGACAACTAGATTTTCCTGCCAGGCAAGTTCTTTTTCTTGTTCACTTGCCCAAGGGGTAAGAGCCAGACAAGTAATTTCCTAACTAAATCATAAACTAAGGCATGCATTCAAAGACCCTCGGCAAGCATATTATGTGGAAATGGCTGTCCAAAGGACAAGCTGGAATCCAATTTTTTTTTGGCCTTGGAAAGGTATTGCCTTATTATTTTTGACTCTGCATAATGGTGTGTTCTTTCAAATGAGCCTTCCAGCTGTCATCTTCTTTCCTGGACCATTCTTTCTGACCTTCTCTGACTATCATTGTAGGCCCACAATGCACCTCAGCTCGCACAATGGTGTTTGTATGTGATCACTACAAACTACCCTGATTTTGAAACCTGTGAAGACTTTGAACTGGTCAAAGGGGACAATCGCCGGCATGTTTTAGAGCACCGATGGCCACCTTTGGCCTACTTGAAAGAGCTAGAAGAATTCAAGAGGAAGACTGGAAGAGCATAAATTCAAGAATAAAGGATAAGTTGAAATATTTTGCTAGGTCCCATGATCCCCATGCTAAGCCATAATCTTTTTTGATAACTAAATATGCAACAATCTGTGTCGTTACTGAGACCAAAGTTGGTGTTTCCTGTGCTCCATTATTGATGATCATTGTTAGACAAAATGCGTGGGCTTGTGGAGGTGGCACATGAGCTAATAACTGCATTGAGCCATGTTAGTAAGCCATAGCCATGCTTTTAAAGTAATGGAAATGAGAGCTGTTTGTTAGAATCTTTAAGCTTTGCTTTTGCTAAAACAGCAACAAAACAGCACTGGTTATAGGTGTAGTTGTAAAGTGGACATTACAGAGAAGACAGGTTCATAACCAGATATTATCATGCAATCTTGAAAATTATTTTGTCGTTGTTGCACTACAATGCGTTACAAAGCAAACTTATGATAGTGAATAACAAATCAAGATATTGTCAGGCCTGATATCTCGGATCTGACATGGGATAAATTTAGGTTTTGGGGAAACTGCGCACCTACCCCTCCCCTTAGCCAACATTAACACCTAATTCTCACTTAAAGCAAAATGGTGGCTAAGGGGTGGGGTAGGTGGGCAGTTTCAAAAAAACCTAAATTGATCAGCTCAGACAAATACAGCGTCTGTGTCATATCTGTATTGTTTCCTTATCTCTGACCTGCAGCGTAAGAGGTAAAAACCCATTCTTTCCAATCGGAGCTATATTAGCTTGAATTCTGTAAAATATAGCCAGAAATTTGATTGTACAAAGGTTAAAGGTTAAAAATTATTTAATATTTAATTTACAGCATATTTAGTTAGGACGGCATTTAATTATAATAAAATACATTGTTCCAGAGGATGTTTAATCATGCCCTTTGGTAACACGGAAGTTTCTGTACCAACTTATCTACTTGTAAGTATTTTTGTTTCCAGTCAATTGTTAAAAAAGCATCAGGCCCCATTTATCTAAAACACTTTTTATTGAAAATGATGAATATATGAATTTTATGTATTGAAACCGCCAAATGAAGATATTTTTGCAAATGTCAAGGTTCCAATAGTTTTATCTTTAACTGCAGTGATCACTTTTGCATTAATTTTTTTTCTTCATTTTGCAGTTCCAATATATGAAATTCTTCTTTCTTCTTTGCCGGGTATATTACGAATCAATTCAATGACCAGCTCCCAGTTTGCATTCTACCTCAGTTGGTAGAGCACCGCACCAGCATTGCAGAGGTCAAGATTTGAATCCCAGTAAGCCTAAATGTTTTCAGGCTTGCATAAGTTGTATCTTTAACTGCGAGGATCACTAAATTGAAATTTTTCACTAGTCAAATCTAATCCCTTTAAAATTTATTTTAGTACAAGGTTTGCTTCTGAGTCAACAAAGTAGAGTATATTTGATTCTAAATTCATTGCCTGGTCTAAAGTCATGAATACAACCTTCAAAAAGCCACATTGACTAGTTCACATTAATTTACATGGAGAACACTTCATGGAAGAGGTTAGAACCAAATGGTTTCAAAAAAATAAATTGATAAACATTCTGATAAAATAGTAATTAGATTTATCTGATTTCTTGGTAATCATAAATTTCTTGTTTTTCGTGAAGTTATAATTCTGGGACAGCATTAGGTATGAAGGAAATAATTATTCTTATCATGTTACTTATAAGGAATAATTAGGTATGAATGAAATTCTAATCATGTTACTTATAAGGAATAATTTTAATATTTTTTCAGCGTGAAATATTACTCTTGTACTTAGTGTTAGCCTCCCACGCAGGCATTTTTAGGGGAGCTTGTTTGTGGGGAGGGACAAAATACGAGATCTCTTAAAAACGCCTGCATGGAATGCAAGCTTAGTGTATGCTTGGTAAGAAATTCATTTCTTGCTTAAAACTCATATTCGCCAGTGTATTTATTTATTCATTTAATTTTTTTACACAAGCTTTTAGCAGAAGACATTGTTACTGAATATTGATTCCCCTCAAACAAAATCAGGGAGGGAGACTTTCTCACCATTATTTTTTTTTTAGGGGAGGGGGTGTCTGTACACAGACTAAATTCTCTTTCAAAAAGTTTTCTGTGAATTTTGGCAATGTTGATAAGTATTAGGCAAAATCCAAAAGGTTTCGGCTGTGGAGTTGTGTAATTTGAAAGGGTTCAGTTCTGCTCTTATCAGAAAATGTAAAGCGTTTTCTTGGATAACTGAATTGGTGCCTAGAGAAAGTCTCTTTAGTGATATGTGATATTCTACTAAATTCTCCTTACAAATTACCTTGTATTTTCTTGGGAAGTGAGAGGAGAATTTTGTTAGATCAAGACTTGTTTAGAATTTATGCTTTCCTTTAGTGGAGAAAGTGACAATACAAACCTTAGACTCAATGAATTTAATTCTACCAGGTGAGGATAATTAAGTATTAAACTGTATTCTTTAATTGGCAGATGGTTCTAAAAATAAAAATTTCAGCAAAATAAGGCACGCCGTACATGTATTTTTATATGAACTGTCTAATTAGATTTTTTAATGAAGACTTTAAAAACATAGGCAAAGAATTTACCTCAGTAGTGATAAATGATGTCATAAACTTTGAATGACAGGTGTCAGTTATATTTGTACCCATAAGAAAAGTTGCATCTAATTAGCTAATCACATTCATACTTAATAATCTTAGGATCAATTATCAGCTAGCTTTTACAATTTTTTCTCTCGTCAAGTCCTAGTTTGTCTGAATATTATTATAAGCTTAAGCTCGCCCGTTGCGAGATATGTGAGCAAGGATACTTAGTCATAACTTGTACCATTTCATCGCTTCTCAACAGCATTGTTCTATGTACCTTCCATACTTTGTAAAAATCTAACATTGAAGGCGAATTAAAATAAAAAAGGAAATTTTGCAAAGTAAACATTTTACTCGTCGTTCTGTGATGGACTACGTTTCAGTATTGATCAAGCTTATTCCAGGCGTTCAGCTATAGCAGAGATGGCGGGAAAAGAAGAAGTGAAGTGAGTTGGAGTTGCCCTTTTTCCCTCCACTCTCTACTATCTGAAAGCCTGGAACGTGTTAATATTGATTGTCCCCCCGCTTCCTGGGTTTTTGAGAGCTGACACGTTGACAGTTTTGTCCTGGGCCTGGGGTGCCTGTGTAACACCAAGTCTTAAAATAATCTCCGTCGAAAAGGGCAAATTTGAATAATTACCCAGATAAATCAGAAAACCTTAACCTGCGTCGCTGCTGCCTAATTCCCTTTCGTAAACGGTCATTGCCATTTTTAACGGTCGATGCCACCACAACATCCATCATAACTAAAGGTTTGGTTACCAATATATAACAATTATTCACCGAAGTAGAGGTAGTGGGTGGTATTAACCGAGACGCGAAGCGCAGAGGTAACTGGCCACCCCTAGCCACCGACACTGAGGTGAATAATTGTTGTAGTCTGTACTAAAACAGTGAGATAATTGAGCACAAAGATGATGATTTTTAACTCATTTGCTGTTGCCAACGATTACAATTTTGGCGCCCAATGACCGAACGGCCGCACTGAGATAGGCGGGGAGGGAAGAGGGGGTGGGGTGGCGGGATAGTGTAAACCCCGTCCTGGCCTCTTGTTACGAAATACTATCTTGTTTCTTCCGGTCGCACCATCTTGAAAATCCCGCTTTCCACTTTGCGACTACCACCTAGCCCAACACCTAGCCAAAGGTGACAAGCCTGCAACCGGATTACAGGAAAATAACAATACATTCCGAGAAAGTTAGTTGTCAATCATAATCGAAATCAACTAATTACAACCTCCAGACGTGACCTTTTGAACCCGCTAAGAATGGGGTTGTTTCCTGAGAGGTACGCTAGAGTGAATGCCGTTAAATTTTTCACTTGAGATCCATTCTCGTCCCCAGAACCACTCGGCTTAATTTGTAAGACCACGTGACCAAGAAACGACGGGCTCTGGGGACGAGAATGCTTGAGGTCGTGATGTTATTGCAATGCGCATGCGCTTCAATAGTAGCGAAGAAATTGCTGGTAGATGACAAATAACAGCTAACGGCAGCTATGTCTCCTGGGTGTTATATATAAAGTCTTGAACAGAAAAACATTGTCTGGCGAAACATTTGCTTTATTGAAAAACGTTTGCTATCAATGTTTAAATTTTGTACTTCGAGTAACTTATTGTTTTATTACGAGCTGCTGATTGGCACACAACCAACCGTCTTGGAATGTATAGTTATTTTCCTGCAATCTGATTGGTCAACTGTGTCTTAGTGGCCCCGGTTACAATAAATATTAGAGAGCTTAAGCAGTGACGTTTTTGAGTGACGCACGTCGACCGGAGGTGGACTTTTTGCACTCTTGAGCCGTGATTTTAAACCAATGTTTGGGCAAATCGTCTTTATAAGAATCAAGACACTTAGCAATACAAATACGGTAGTGCCAAGGCATATTATAAGGGAAAAAAGCTCACTTCCGGTTGTCCTGGTTCGCGCAAAAACGTCGCTAACCAGAGGAGGTTCGACAGGAATCCCACAATGCAGCACAATGCTAAAATTTCGGCTCGCATTTCAAAATGGCGGCAAGTTACAGGAAAATCGGTTGGTCTGGTCGCTGCGTAAGCTATTATAGTCGCACTGTAACCTCTCTCGTAACCGTCCCAGAGTAAAATCAAAGGGTGCCTATGGCTAACTCGTGGATTAACTTATTTTAAAAATCAAAGCTGATAATGAACTTGCAATTAGTCTACCAATATTATGATTTAAGTCTGTCAAAAAATGAAAATATGTTTTAAAAAACAAACCAAACTAAGAAAACAAAAGCAAAACGAAAAAAGAAAAAGAAAGTTTCCTCCGGTGGGAATTGGACCAGACCATTGACGTATAAGGTCATTGCTATATCTATTGCGCGAAGGCATCAACTAGAGCGCGTTTACGCCCGAGTCGAGTGTACTCGAGAAACGCGAAACGAGTATTGTGAAAGCTCGCGCGTGAGCCTCACGCGCTAAATGAGACTGGACCCTAAAAAGAAACCAACATGGCGACGGAGTAGATACGCAGAACACATGTGTTTTTAAATTGGACACAAAGTAACATAATTCGACTTCAGGAAATCTGATTTGACCTCCACCGTTTCTTTTACTCATTCTTCAAGGGTTGGCGTCATTTGTGACATAAAAATTCACGGATGTGGCACGGCAGAAGTCGTGAAAAATCAAGCACAAGTCTTGTACGTGAGGTATGCTTAACTTTGCTTAACTTGAGCTAACGTTAAAAATCATCAAGTAATCCCAAGAGAGCCCTTTCCCGGGCTTTTAATCATCCCCGTCCTCTAATATGGGTTCCGTGAAATACAGGTTTCACTGTATATCAAGCCTGGGGAGGGGGTGGGTGGTAGAACCTAAGGACGTTTCGGTTGAAGATATGGCTGAGGGACAGACACCAAGACACCAAGATGTTGGTGGAAAAGTGAGGTGAAAAATTGTTCAAGACGACTTGGAGGTGCCTGGACTGGTAATGTAGGAGCTGCTTGAAAGTCTTTCCTGATTCATTCTTTTAGACAATGGTAATTCATTGTTTACCATTGTTTTCTGGTTTGGGTAGCAAACCAATAAAATTGGCTTTCAGCTTCCAAGCAGCTGCTACATGACCTACCTGGACACTTGTCTCTTTAGAAACAAAAAGGAAACTACATGGAGTTAAGACTTCTGGGATTGTTACTAGTGACACTCAGAAAAAAAATTGGCTAATAGATGACTGATGCATCTCCAGTCATGATCCGGGGGTGTACCCCTGCGGCAAGCTGATGACATGTGCATTACGCATGACATGCAAATTTTACTTGCATTGCTCTGTTACAATAGAGGTTAGCGTTTTCTGTCTCGCTATGAATGGTACACTGGGAGATTTCTCATATCATTTTATTCTGTGCTATCTGTGTCATTTTTCGTAGTACGTTTTGTGGTAGTTTTTGAAATAATCACAAAAACATTACAGTTTTTTAAAAAAGATTTGTTGTGGCTGTTCAAGATTTTATTTCGATCTTTCAACCCATCGCACATGGCACATGTAAATATGTACCTTCATGTAATGCACCAAACATAAAAACACTTTCTACACTTCATACACTTCAAAAGATAGACTTCAAAATAATAATAATTTTATATCTTAAGTTTATGATTTATGAACAACTCAGTTATGTTGGTGTGCTTGTGTTGCACAGTCGATATCTAGGCAATTCGTTCAGTACTATTTCAACTTTGAACTTTTGAAGGTGGTAGTCTAAAAGAGAGCTAACAGAAATGCGTTTGTGACGCTTGGAAAAAAAACCAGGCTCCACATAAACCTGAAAATCAAAGAGTCTAATTTAAATCCTTGACTCATTTGTAGAAAATTTTTCAGCTTTGTTTTTTGGATCACAGAGCTGACCATTATTTACCAATAGGTGCTTCAACTTTCACATCAAGAATGACAGTACAGTGATTGTAATACTTTCGCTTCTGGTCCAGTAAGTTTGCGTTCGATGTAGCATACCAGTTGCACACTTGAGTACGGTGTATTCTCGCACACTAGCTTTTGTTATCGAAGGTTAACACGTTTTCCTGTGCATGCTTTATTGTTCTATGACGTGCGCTTATTGTTTTTAGTGTGTTGTGTAAGACAAAAGCATAGGCTCATTAAAGTGTGCTCCAGTGTGTCTTGTGAGTGTGTTAAAGTCAATTTCTTTTGTTTTTAAGTGGAGGTGTGTTAAGAGCATGTTATCACCTTTGTCCATGAAATCATATGGAGGGTCATGTATTTTGGAGGGGAAAGAGATTGGATTGCATTGTGGAAATGTCCCAGTTATAAATAATGCCAATCGTTTCTTGTTTCAAAAGGCTAAGTATGCATAGCTATACACTCAAGCCTAGCCTGCGTAGCAGTCTTGCAGTCTTGCTCATTTTTGCCTTGCGCATCTTTCGTGCTTGTCTCACTTGGCCTAAAGGAAATGGAAAAGACTGCCACACCGGCTAACTCAAGCTGGAAAAAAGTGTTGTTATAATCTATACTTCAAAGTATTAAACCATTGCATCAGGCAGTTGGCAGCACAATGAACCCCTACTATGAGGTCTTGTTTTGAAACCTGTGTGGCCCCTCTTTCTCTTCCTTAATGTCAGAGTAGCAATTAAGAAAAAAATATTTCTGTCTAGCAGGCTGCAAAGCAAGTCAGTTTTACAGCTTGTCCCTTGGTCTCGCTTTAGCTACAGCGTAGCATGTACTAGTCCAAGAGTCATTTTTACAAGCCCCCAAAATTTCTTGACAAGTGTGATTTGACCATTAGTCATAACTGTGATAATATGATGGGTGATGAATTACTCCTTAATTTTGGTGCGAAATTTCAGTGTTTATACTACTAGTACATGAGAAATTTCTGCAATTTGATTTGCTTAAAGCAGCGGTATTTCAGGTTAATTTGAAAAACCTACAAGTGAAAATTACAAACCTTTGGAGGGTAGTAGTATAAACAAATAATAGCATGATTTGTAATTGGTATTTAGCATAAATACCACAAGTGATATTTCAAAATTGTCTCAGATTTCACTCACCTAATGGCTCATGAAATTACGTATTTAACAATTTTGAAATATCACTCACGGTATTTATGTCAAGTATCACTACAAATCATGCTATTACCTATACTAATTTACAATTTCACATGTGAGATTACAAAATTACCATGGCAACCGTCTGTACGTCTCAGTGCCAAGATGGCGGCAAAGTTTTTTAAAAAATGTTATGAATGAAGATGTCAGGGCATTAAAAGACGCTTTAGAAAACCCAAACACACAAATGAGCACAACAAGAAGGATTTTGTCGGGTATTTTGTCAAAAAATTCTGAAAATTATGAACTTAA